TGTCTAGATATCATGTTTATGTACATACATAACATAATTTTTAAAGAATAAGTGAGATAATACTACACATAGTGTTCTGTGCCTTGTTTTTTCCACAATAGTATGTGTAGACAGCTGCCTTAATTTAACTAGCCCCTTCTTGATGAGTGTTGCAATTTGTTTCTACTGTAACAAATACTGCAGTGCAAGTAATCTAACATACTAATGCAAATTTTTCTGAAGAATAAATTCTAAGAATTGAGACTGCTGGATAAAAGGGCAGAGTAGATATAATGTACATTTTTCTAGATATTAACAAATAACCCACCAAAAGAATTACAGTTCTCTGCACCCCTCCCCACAACTATATCTTAATGCATTGTCAAATTACAGCAGGCCTCTACTGAACCAACCTCAAATAGCAACACTGGCCAAAGAATCACAAAGTCTAAAGTGAGAATGAAAACTATTATTTACCAAGTGTTTAAGTACCAGAAACTGCACTTGACCTTTAGAGTACCTCATATATACAATAATCCTGTGAGGTGAGTGACATTGTCTCCATTTTTGAAAAGAGGAAACTAAGGCTCAGAGAGCTTACCCAATGTTAATTACAGCTTTATATATAATGGGGCCAGCATTTGAACCCAGGCAATCTGGTACCAATGTGAGACCACATGGAGCTACCCCAAACTAGGACCAAAGTAAAGAGTTCTTTAAAAATCAAGTGTTCCTGATTAACCAGGAAGAGGATGGTCCTGAAATGTTTGCTCACAGGCTCAAATGTTAATTTCATGCTACTGCAAAAAGTCGTATTTTCCCCTTACAGACTTAGCCTATGAACCCACTCTCAGCCTGTGCTTAGCAATCCAGCTCTAACAAAGCAACTATGAGCCCACAAGCCACAGAACCTGGAGGGGCTGACCAACAAGTACTTGGAAAGTTGGTAGATGGAGGGCAGGAAGGAAACAAGAAGTAGGAGGTAGGCTAGCATGGCCAAGTTAGACATTTTGAACACGTATCTGTTGTCACAAAAACATTATGGGGGAAGTGGAACTACGGTACACATGAGAGAGACCACAATTAACTGACACAGTCTGTTTATACCAGCTTTCCCTGCCTTGGACACTTGTTATTTCTGCTGCACTGATATGCTGTGCCCAGTAACTTTAGGATAGCACTTAATAACTACAGAGCCAGACATCTGGGAGCTCCCTGCCTGACAAAACAGGTTAGACTAGTGGCCTTGCCTGATGCCTTGCAGCTCCCATCGCAGGGTCTGGGGCACTGCTTTCAACTTCCCTGGAGTCTGGTCTGTGATCACCTTCCCTTGTAGTTGTCTGGGGCTGTTGTCAGGGAAGAGTGCTTAATTCTCCCTTGGTAGAGGGGGGAGTTCCTTTCCATTTAAATGGTAAGCATTCACCTGTCAGTATCTGTCTCTTACTGTCCTCGGGTCTTTTGCACCAAAGTAAGTGCTTGTTAACTGGATCTATTTGTGCACACCACTCCTAATGTAACATCAGCAATTCATTGGGAATAGTGGGATAAAAAGGAGAGAGGGAAGGGGAGAAAATTTTCCCCTTTCCCCATATTGTTTCAATTCCAGACACAGGGCTCCAGAAGCTCCATGGGTACAGACAACAATTGAAAGGTCACAGAAAATTGACAACATAATGTTATTTAAATAGGGAGAAGTGGGCATCAAATTGGATAATCTGAGGAGCATATTAAAATATCATCACAAATGCCACAGAATAAGGGCATGGACACACTTCCATAGTTCAAAAATCAAATATCACAAAAGGGTATAGTGTGATGTCTCTCTCCCCCACCCCTATATCATGAACCCCTAGTTCCTATCCACCCCCACCAAGGAAACCAATGTGACAGTCTGTTGCATGTCCTTCCACAGATATTTTATGACTATACTGGCAAATATATATTATCACAATTTATTTTAATATATTACTATATATAAAAAAGCCTTCCCTCTCAGATTAAAGTACCACTTAAATGTTTTTGAAGTTGTAGAAATTAGATTTTTTTAAATTTCAAAGTAAAGAATTTTGAAATTCACAGTTGAACTTTTTCACTCATAAAAAGTTGCCCACATTTAACGTTAAGTTGTTTACCTCCAGAAATGAAGTTGGTTACCCAGCATGCAGCAGATACTGAAAAGTTTCCTTGGGTCATTTGTCCTTTATTATTCAGAGGCAGCAGGACAATTACTCACTTCCTCTATTGATCTCGACAAATGCAATCTGATTTTGTATTAGTAAGAAAGAGAGGCCCAGCCAGTGTGGCTCAGTGGCTGGGCATCAACCCATGCATCAAGAGGCCGCTGGCTTGATTTCTGGTCAGGGCACATGCCCAGGCTGTGGGCCCAGTCCCCAGTGAGGGGTGTGCAGGAGGCAGCCAATTGATGTTCTCTCTCATCAATGTTTCTCTCTCCCTCTCCCTTCCTCTCTCTCTAAAATCAATAAAGAAAAAAATATTTTAAAAAACAGAGGTCCTGAAAATCTGTACTGAATTCACTTAAGTATTCAAAGATTTGCAAACTGAATTTTTTTTTTTATCCTCACCCGAGGACATTTTTCCATTTTTTGTTCAGATAGAGCGGGAGGGAGAGAGAGGAAGAGAGAGAGAGAGAAACATCGATGTGAAGGGATACATCGAGTGGCTGCCACCCGCACGACCAACCAGTGCCGGGGACAAACTGCAACCAAGGTACGTGCCCTTAGCGGGAACCGAACCCGGGTCTCTCTGTACCGCAGGCCGACACTCCAACCGCTGAGCCAAACCGGCCAGGGCCAAACTGAATTTTTTATCAGAATCCCAACAGTCTTCAGTACATAATGAATAATTGGCTAATCAAATGACATTAGAATTCAGATTGGGGGAGCGTCTTAAAACAGAAAAGTAAACATCCCTGAGAAAGAGAAATGTTTTCTCACAATTATAGGCAAACGACATCAAAATATTAGTATTTGGCATAACCTAGGACAGCACATGTTGACAAACTAAATTTCTTAATACATTTCAAAGTAACACTAAAACTCAAAGACATAATACAAAAATTGCATGTAATACTATGACATGATACTACCTTTTCTGAACAATTGTCAATTAAACCAGATTTCAGTAATACAAAATGAAACAGTACTCTGTAGCACAGCCCCAATGACTAAAAGCTTGTGGTGAGTTTAAAAAGTACATATCAGCAAAGGAAAATTCCACTGCTGTTTTAAGCCTTAAGATAAAGGTGACTGAGCTCCTAAGAACATGGAGTACTCTTCAGAAATATATTTTTAAATCCCCATTTATTTTCCATGCAGTTGAGCATGTATTTATGAGCCTGTCTAAACTAGCTTCTAAATGTATTTTACATTGTACTTTAATAAATTGGATATAGGGGCTATAAAATAAAAATAATTTCAAGGCTATCTATATAATATAAAGGCAATCTTCATTTGCATTATGGCTCAGAGTCAATCACCAGAAATGACAACGTGCTTCAACTCCTCACTCTGCTCTCTGCTCTCTGCTCTCTGCTCTCTGCTCAGGAAACCTCCTAGCTCAACTGCAACCTTGGCTTTAGACATTTGTCACCAACTGACATAAACCACAGAGCTCAAGAATGACCAGGTATCGAGGTCAAAGATTATATCTGTAATTTGAAATAACCAAACTCAGTTTTGGATCTGGTCCTGTTTCAATTCAAGATCTGTCGAGGCCACTATCCCCTGAAAATTTGAGGGCTCTGGACAGCACTTTGTAACCTTGGTGGCCAAGAGCCTGGGCTGTCAACAACCAATCAAGAACCATGAGGGAGCAAGGCACAGGGCCAAGTGTAATTTTCACATTAAAGATTAAGGTGTCTGCTTTCCATTCTCTATCAGTGAACCCTGAATGGAAATTGAGTGGAAAGATCCTTCCAGTTTAAGTGATAAAGTAAAATGCTGCCTATTAGGAACAGCCATGAAGTGAGCTCATTCATTTCACATGAGAATGCCAACGTGGGCCTTAATTCTACTGAATTAAATTCAAAAGGAATAGAATACTTGGTTCCAGTTTGGAGTTGGGGGGGGGGGTTCAGGGGGCATAATGAGAAAATGATTATTCAGATTATGGCTAAATGACACCTATGTAATGACAGAAGATTTATACTGACCACTGTGCATGTGACACACCATGTGCCATTAAACCCAGAAAAGGATAGTGGTATCAGCCCATCCTTCACAACAAAAGAAGGCTGGTTCCAGAATTAAAACCACTACTTTGCCTCTTCATACATTCACAACTGTATCTTCAAAGTCATGTCCATGTTACAATCTGAGGAATACAAAAGCTCCTCTCCACTTAGAGAGGGCAAGTGACTGGGTGTAACTTCCCACCTGGACACAAGGATGAAAGGGATGCCGACATGGCTGAGCACCTCTGGGTCCTGAACCACACTCACCGTTCCCAGCGCTTCAGGCTCCGACTTTATTAACCAGAGACCCGGGAACACAGATCTCAGAAGTGGATGCCCATAAAGGCTGACCATGGATGTGGCATCCACCAGGCCTTGCCAATCAGACCCAAGCCAACAAACCCTCAGCCCTCATCCCCACCCACACTGTGGCCTGACTCCCGGGGTAGCGCGGTCCCCTGCGAAGTCACCTCCCGCCCAGGCATACACACACTCTGCTGTGGTGAACTAGGGTGGGGGTCCGGGGTCGCGATGTGGGGCGGAAGCAAACCAGAACCCGGTGGACAGAACCAGGCCACCTCTGTGCCTTTCATTTTCCTGGTTCCCCATGAAGAAACATCGAAATGGGGTGGAATTCTTTTTAACGGTAACAGAAACCCAGAAAATGCTGACAGTTGACCTTGGGAACCAATAACGTCGCAGCGGGGAAAAAGAACGAAACACGTTACGAATGAAGGGGGAGTACAGTGAAGCGTGGGGAGGGGAGGAGAAAGGCATTGGCCCGGCCGCCCAAGGGGTGTGTGGTGGTGGGCTTCGGTGGGGTGCTCACCATAGATCATGGCCAGCCCGGTCTCATGCAGGAAGCGCACACGGCGGTGCTTGAAGAGCCAGATGGTGAGGATAGTGAGCGTGAGCAGCAGGATGAAGGTGAGCAGGCTCACGCTGTCTTGCCTATGGCTCTCCTCCGCCTCCTTCTCAGTGGCGAGCTCCTCCATGGCGCTGCTGTCCTCAGCCGCCGCCCCAGAGGAAGAGGAGGCCGCGGCCGCAACACGCAGCCCCCGACCCAGCAGCAGCGGCAGCAGCGGCAGCAGCAGCAGCTGAGGTGGCAGCGCCTGGGCTGCCGGCCCCAGGCCAAGACGCGCCGCGTCACCACCAGGCTCCATGGTCCCAGAGCTGCCCGCGCCTCTGGCGCGCGGGACCCGCAGCTCGCGCCGTCGATGGGTTGACTTGGCGCCGCCGACCCGCGGGAGTGGCGGTGACCGCCGCAGCTCCTCCTCCTCCCGCGGGCGCCCGGTGGGAGGGGCGCGCGCAGTGCGCAGGATCCCCAAGCACCACCCCCCGCCCGCGCACCTGTTCGTCCCCCCCCCCCTTTTCGTCGGGCCCGGCGTCGGCCGGGCCACCGAGGCAGGGTTGGCTGTTGCTCTGGGACCCTTGGGCCGGGCCGCCAGCCCCTGGCCTTTCTGCGCTCGTCCCCCGGTCCTGGCGTACCTGGCCAGGCCCTCTGAGGTCGTGGGGTCGTATTCCCGAGCCCTCGCCGCCACGCTTCCTAATCTGGACGCCAGAGGTCGCCCGTGCCTGGCAGGAGCATCAGCTTGGATTCCCGCGCTGAGTGAGCTTGAGTCCTGTCTCTGGGGCCACTGCGAAGTGTTTGATCCCAGACCACTGTATAGCCGCCCTGGGCCCAGTAAAATGGGGACCTTGGGGGAAGCGACGAGCCGCGAAGCCACATTACCCCCTACGCCTCTCTTTCACATGTCTCACAGTGCCTGCCAGCTCTTGAGGCTGCCCAGAATCTGCCAGGCTTCATTCAAACCTATGCTCTAGTCTGTCTCAAAACGAGGACCCACAAGGGTTCCGAATGTGGGGAGAGCGTTAAAATATATCCTTCACCACTTGGGAAATAGACTGACTTGTACTGGGAAGAGGTAGGGTTGAAGGAACTTGCCATTCCGGTAGATGAGCAGCAGAAGGGTGGTGGGGGTCGGGGGATTACCCTGGTGGTCCTTTTACATTGACCTTTTGGTAGCCCAGGAAGTCTTTGGATGATTCTTAGGACCAGGCCCACCTCCGAAAAAAATTATAAAGCGGACTCTGGAGAATAAAACCTCTTGGAACAAATTCTCGGGAACTAAAATTTCCAAACCACCTTGTTCTTCTGGTCAAAAAAGAAGAAAGACCAAATTATTAATCACTGAATTCTCAGTTCCTAGCACTGTATTCATAAAGTGTTTATTGAACCAATCTTAAATCTGTACCAATTGCCCAGATTTCTATCCCAGAGACATTTGCATTTTAAACAGGATTCATTGAGGAAAGCAAAGCTTAACTAAAAGGAGTAATAATAGAGTGGGGATGGCATTAGGTAGGAAAGATATTTGGAATACTGCAGCTTTCCTATTTCCCCTCCAGGTGAACACTCTGGCAAGCCTGCTTAGTACCTTCTTTATGCAGGAAAATCTCTTCATCTGGATTTTAGCAATTCTTTCCTATTCTTCCTGACTGTCACACAGCCCCTACAAAAATCCATATGCCTTGAAGTTCCATGCAGGTTCCCAATGAAATTGCAAACACTAAAAATCTGGATGGTCACAGAGAAAGTTATACAACAATGGGAAAACTTGATCTAATTTCTGGAGACTCATTAATATCCATGTTTGCTGAAAACTAGCCATATTGATCATAATATTTAATATTACATCCCCTTGGGTCTCCAAAAGTCAAAAACAGAACTTCTTTCTATAGCTCACACTGGGGACAACTCAGGAGCTACCTTAAAAGTGCAAAATTGTTAGTACATGTGGCAGATTGTATTTTCCAAAAATGCCCAAACCATATTTCCAATCCCACATGCTCCTGAAGAACTGTGCCACTCACCCATCAATAAGTGGCATCTATGTTCCCACCCCTTGAACGTCAGTGGACCCTTACAACTACCTCAAAGAATAGAATGGGGCAATGGGGACTGCATAACTTGTGAAGCTAAGTCATGAAAGGCAATCTAGTTTCTACCTGGCTCACTCTCATGCTCTTGCTCTCCACTCACTTTGGAGCCCTGAGCTTCCATAGAAGAAATCTAGACCACGATAAGATAACACCTCACATCTGTTAGAATGGCTATCATCAAAAAAGACAAGAGCTAACAAATGCTGATGAGAATGTGGAGAAAAAGGAACCCTTGTGCACTGTTGGTGCGAATGTAAATTGGCACAGCCACTATGAAAAACAGAATGAGGTTCCTCAAAAAATTAAAATTAAAACTACTATATGATCCAACAGTCCCACTTCTAGGTATATATCCAAAGGAAATGAAAACAGTATCTCGAAGAGATATCTGCACTTCTGTGTTTGTTACAGCATTACTCACAATAGCCAAGATACAGAAAGTGTCCATCAGTGGGTGAATGGATAAAGATGTGATACACACACACACACACACACACACACACACACCATGGAATATATAACCATGAGAAAGAAGGAAATCCTGCCATTTTGAGGGAATTATGCTAAGTGAAGTATGTCAGACACAGAAAGACAAATACTGCATAACCTCAGAGAGTAGATGGGTGGTTACCAATGCCTGGGGGTGGGGGAAATGGGGAGCTGTTGGTCAAAGAGTAGTACAAACTCCCATTTATAAGATGAATAAGTTCTGGGAAACTAATGCACAATACAGTGATTATAGATAACAATACTATACTGTATACTTGAAAGTTGCTGAGAGAGTAGATCCTAAATGTTCTCACCACAAAAAAATGAAATGGTAATTCTGTGACATGATGGAGGTGTTAGCTAACACTATGGTGAAAATCATATTGTAATATATAAGTATATCAATTAAACATGTTGTATACCTTAAATTTATACAATGTTATATGTCAATTATAGCTCAATAAATGTAGAAAATAAAAATAAATAAATAAATCCATCTACCTTGAAGCTGCCATGCTGAGGAAACCACATAGCAATAGAAATAGACACTACAGGAGCCCCAGCTTTTTTTGTGTTCCCAACCCATATACCACACACATGAATGAGTGAGCCTTCAAATTATTTCATTCCCAGCCACCATCTTACTGTAAACATATGAGAGACCCCCAAGGAAGAACCACCTAGCTGGCCCTAATCAATACCTGAATCTATGAGATAATAATAAAATGATTTGTTATTTTAAGCTACTAAATTTGAGGGTGATGTCTTCCATAGCGATAGAAAACCAGAAGAGTATTTATAGTATAAAGTTGTTGCCTCAGGTAGAGTATGAGAAAATCCTAACACAAATATACACCAAAGAAAACACTCAATTATCTATACATATTTATGTATGAAAATTAACAGAATAATAACACTCAACCCATTCTCTCCTGCTGAATGCAGCAATAAACCTGAACAGAATGCATGGAGCAACTATTTAAGGATTCTAAAAGATAAATTGTGCCGGGTAAACTGAGGATGAACACCAAAATATGAAGTATAACAACTGGCAGTGAGTTTACCATTTTTCCCTCCAGTAGCCACTGGACTGGACTTATGGCACCCCAAAACCCAGAAGGGGGCATCGACATGGATGGAGAGCACCAGTAAGAGTAGAAAATAGATCTCCTAAAGTTTAAAGAAATTAGTGAAGCACAACATTTTTTTTCAATTTTCATGCACCCTAACCAATAGGCAATCTCCCTATGACAGTGACAATGGAGAGAACAGTGCTATGAAGTGTTTAAAATGCTAAAGGATAAAGGAAACTTCCTCTATGGTTGGCAAATTATGGGGGAAAACCACCATTGATTTATTTTTTATCTCTCTGTTCTCCTGCTGCTTGGCCCCAGACATGGGCAAAGTTGCAGGAAGTGCAAAGGAGATTTCTAGCCAAAGTATCAAAATGGGAAACTCCAAGGAACTGCAAAGTATCAGGGAGATTGTGGAGAGAGAGGAGTTTAGGGAAAAGAATCCTATCAAGCCCTAGCCGGTTTGGCTCAGCGGTTAGAGCGTTGGCCTGCGGTCCAGAGAGACCCGGGTTCGGTTCCCGCTAAGGGCACGTACCTCGGTTGCAGTTTGTCCCTGGCCCTGGTCGGTCGTGCGGGTGGCAGCCACTCGATGTGTCCCTTGCACATTGATGTTTCTCTCTCTCTCTCTCCCTCCCACTCTATCTGAACAAAAAATGGAAAAATGTCCTCGGGTGAGGATTAAAAAAACACACACACACACACACACACACAAAGAATCCTATCAAGTCATTATGAACTCCTAGATTCACCTTGGCCTGCATGTGGGCCTGATCTTAAACAACATACCAAAGACTGTAATAACTGTGGTTCAGTTGGTTGGGCATCATTCCCTGCACCAAAATGTTGCTGGTTTGATTCCTGATCAGGGCACTGAGCAATATTTCTCTCTTTCCCTCTCCCTTCCTCTCTCTCTTAAAAAATAAAATAAAATAAAATAAGCCTGGCCAGTGTGACTCAGTGGTTGAGCATCGACTCATGCACCAAGAGGTCGCTGGTTCGATTCCTGGTCAGGGCATGTGGGGGCCATGCAGGAGGTGGCTAATCGATGTCCTCTTTCATCGATGTTTCTCTCTCTCTCTCTCTCCCTATTCCTTCCTCTCACTCTAAAATCAATAAAGAAAAATAATTTTTTAAATCAATTAAAACATTTTTTTAAAAGATGTTAAAAACATCTTTTAACAAAATTTTTTAAAGAGCCGGAGTGGCTCATTTGGTTGAGCATCATACTGTGCACCAAGAGTTTGCTGGTTCAATTCCCGGTCAGGACACATACCTGGGTTGTGGGTTCAGTCCCAGGTTGGGGCACATACGGAAAGCAACCAATCCATGTTTCTCTTTCACATCAATGTTTCTCTCTCTCCCTCTCTCCCTCTCCCTTCCTCTCTTTCTAAAACCAATTAAAATATATTTACATAAATAAATAAACAAACAAACAAACAAATAAAAGATACAGATCACTCAGACCCTAGACTAGCCACTGGATAAAACACCTGTGAGACAGATCTAAATAACATTGCTAATTTTTGAAAACTGAATTGACTTTGGAGCCATTATCCACAAAAGGCACGTCAGAACTTGTGACCTGGACACAACCATGTTGACTGCAAACTAAAACAAATATATGAATATTACTTCTTAGGATTAAAACAAGATATAAG